GGCTGCACATCCTCCTGCAGCACGGTTCCACTGGGTCCCACATCCACCTGTGCCCACCTGTGCCCACCCACACTCACCTGGAGAGACCAGCCGGGCCCAGAGGCAGCAGAGGCCCAGGAGCAGGAGCAGCGAGAGCAGCCGCATGGCATGGATGGGCAGCGTGGGGGCTGCCTCTCTGGGCACAGGCAGGGCTTTAAATCCTCCTGGGGCAGAAGGTTGGTGCCCATGACCTGGCCCATGCCCCAGCACCTGACACGCTCCATCCGAGCGTGAACCCTCCGTCCCCTCCCTCCCGCGGGCAGCTGGGCTGGACGAGCCTCGGGGGAGGCAGGAAGGTGCTGCTGCTTGGTGCTGGGCTCCGTGCAGCCCCAAGAGAGCCACAACGCGCCACAAGACAAGAGCAGCCAGTGCAATTCCCGGCTGCAGGAGACACGGGGCAGGCAGCAGCAGAGGGCCGGGGACCCTGCTTGGGCTGGCCTGGAGAAACAGTGCAGGAGCTCCCCGGGCCGGGCGCTGTGGAGCAGCCCGTGGTGCCCTGGCAGCTCTCCGGGCATTGTTCTGCCTCTGGGAACAATCGCTGGTTCCCGAGGGACGTCCTGTGACCGGACACGGTCTGTCACACAGCCCCACGCTGCCACCAGCCCCTCAGCCCTGCATCTCTTGGCCAGCCGCTGCCCGGCACCTGGAGACCAGGAAAGCTCCAGGGCCAGGGGGTCCTGCTGCTGGGGACAGGGGATGGGGGCTCTGCGTGGGCACCAGGACTGCAGCACCGGGCCCGTGTCCTTGCCGCGGGCGAGGCGCTCAGGTTCCCGTCACACGGTGCTCAGGCTGCCCCTGCCCCTTCCATGGGATTGGCCGCACTGGGCACCGCAGGGTGTCACAAGCTCGGCACGGGAGCTGCCGGGGCTTTCCCTGACAATCCTTTCCGGGAGTGCCCGTCCCTCAGGGGCAAGAGGGTTCACGCACTCTGCACCTCTGTGGGTGCACGTGGGAGCCAGGTGTGGACACGTGTGTGCGCTCCAGGCTCCCTGCGCTCCTGCTCAGCCCCTCGGGCCGCTCCTGGCCTGGCCACGGACATCATCCCGGTGGCACAGCGCCGCCTCTTCCTCTGTCCCTGCTGGGTGCCGCATTCCTGGGAGGTGCCGCATTCCTGGGTGTTCCCCGGGTACCCCGTCACTGCTTTCCCATAGAGGAGGTCTGGCCGGTGGCTCTGCCCTCCCGGCTGCACCCATTGCTCACCCTGTGGGTGCCTGGTGTCAGGGCAGGACAAGGGCATATGACACAGGTCCTCCTCTGGAAGTGGTTTTCTGTCATGTGAAACCTCAACATCCACCTGGGAGCAGCCCCCCTCATCTCTGGCACCGTCCATGCATCCACCGTGGTGTTGTCCCAGCCCGGCCATGCTGTTGCTGCTGGTGCAGGGACAGGCGGGGCTGCTCTAGAAGACGCCTTTGGTTCGTCCAGTGATCACCCGGCCTCTGCGATTCCCCGGGGAGACAGCAGGAAAAATTCAGCCCAGGTGGATTTTGGCGCTGTGGCCACCAAGGGTGACCGCTAAGTCCCTGTGCAAGGGTGTCTTTCCCACCGCCCACCCTGACTCTGCACCCCCGACCGCCTCCGGCACGTCCCTCCGGATTTGCTGCCACCCCTGCTCAGCACTGGGGACACCGCCACGGCCTCATCCCGGGGCTCCGCAGGACGGGCAGGAAAAGCCGCGGTGGGGCGTGGGCGGGGGGCGCGGGTGGGGGTGGCACCGCCCTCCAAACCCCACCCCGACTCCGACTTTCCTGGCCCCTCCCCACGGAGCTCTCCTCGCCCTCCGCTTCCCCCTTGGGACGGTAATTACGGCAGTAATTAGCATGGCAATTATTCTTGCTGAATGGGAACATCTTAATGTGTTTCTCCCTCCTTTGGCAGGTTTCACCCCACGCCCACCCACCGGCGGGTGCCTCCCAGCTCCGCGCCCGGGGCCCCTCGCCTGGAAGCTGAGCCGGGGGCCAGCCGTGTCCCAGCGCCGGGGGCCAGCCAGGCACGAGGCAGCCCCTGGAGCCCCAGCCTGCTGCCAGGAGCGGGGGTCTGCCGCAGGACACAGGGCACGGCTCGGCGCTGCTGTTCCGCGGGAGGGGGAGGGTGAAGGGGACGGCCCCAAACCGAGAGAGGGTGATGAAGGAGGCGGCAAAGGGACAGGATGGGAATGGATGGGAGCATCGGCGGGACCTGCCTTCCACAGCCACAATGGTAGCAGCGAGCTGGTACCCACAGGCTCAGCCCTGTGCGTGGGCCCGTCCTGCCAGGGATGCTCTCTGTCAGATGAAAGGGAGCATGGGAGAAAGCGATGAAGGGATACACCTCTGGCACAGCCTTTCCCCAGGACTTGCACCACAGGGAGCACAGGGAGAGCGGTGCTGCAGCGTGCTGTGCCCCAGCCCTTCCCTGGCTGATGGCTGTGCCAGAGCTGGCAGCTTTCCATGCCCTGGCATGGTACTGTCATGATCCCCCGCAATGCAGAGGCCAGTGCCAACCTTAACCATATCTGTCCCCAACACAGGCTTGTCCCCAGGAGGCTGTGGCAGCCACTGGTGCTGTCCCCAGCCCAGCCTGGGTATGCTGCTGCCACCAGCCAGGCTCCCTGAGGGCTGTGCCGGGACAGCTGTCCTGTCCTACCGGTCCCCCCAGCTCGAGGGCTGTGGCCAGGATGCCACCAGGGAGACCAGGCCCTGCCCGGGTGTGGCTCGTTACCTGCATGGCAGGTATTAGCTTGGTTTAGGCACCAGCCCTGCTCCCTCCGCCCCGCCTGCACACCTTAAATCCCAGCCCACCACACCCGGGGCCAGACCCGGCCATCCAGGGCACCATGGAGCTGCCACCTGGCTGTCTTCTCCTCCTTGCTGCCCTTCTCCCCCTCGCCAAGCGGTCCAGCCCAGCCCCGCACACAACTGGACAACAGGAGCTGGGGATGGGTGAGTGTGGCCAGGTCATGGCCTGGGAATGGGATACTCCAGGTGCCACTGCTGCCCACTGCCCCACATGCTGCCAGGTGCCTACAAGTGTGGGACTGTGGGAGGCTGGGGTCTGACCCCGGGGCACTGGGGGCTGCTGCGGCCCCTGCTGTGTGCCTCTCAGCAGCGTCCTGGCCACTGTGTCCTGCAGCAAAGCCTGGGTACTGCTACCACATCGCAGAGGTGGAGGACCTGCTGGACAAGGACTGTGGCTCCTGCCCCATGGGTGCCTCCTGTTCGCGCTGCACCAGCGATGCCGACTGCCACGGGGTCACCAAGTGCTGTCCCAGCAAGTGTGGCCACACGTGCCAGGAGCCAGTGTTGGGTGAGGACTCAGTGGGGGGCTCTGGAGTGGCAGCGTGGCATTCACAAGGGTGGCTGACAGGAGGGGTGCTGGCTGACATGGGGTAGCAAACTGGGAAAGGGAGGTCCCTGGGGTGTTCCTGAGCTCTTGATGGGTCTTGCAGACCCTGGGGGTCACCACACTGTGCTGTGGGGAAGCTACTGGTGTATGGGGCTGTAGGCAGGTGTGTGCAGTGTGTGCTGGCACGAAGGGAATGGCAGTAAAAGGGAACCAGAACTGTGCGGGGCTGTCTGAGGGCATGAGAGCGCTGAGCGTGGGGATGTGTCCCCCCTGCCCTGGCTCAGCCTGTCCCCTTTGGATCGTGCAGACTTCTGCTACCTGCCCTCAGTCTGTGGGAACTGCAAGGCTCTCTTCCGCCGCTTCTTCTTCAATGCCTCCAGCCAGCAGTGTGAGGAGTTCATCTACGGCGGCTGCGGCGGCAACAGGAACAACTTTGAGACCAAGGGCGAGTGCTTCCAGGCCTGTTCCCATGTCAGTAACTAGCAATGTGCTGTGGGCCATGGGCCACAGATGGCAGCTGCTCCTGGCCCCTCTTCTGATGCCCCAGCTCCCAGTTCCAGGTGCCTGGCAGTGCTGGCCTGGGAAGTGGTGGCTTCTGCACAGCCCCAGCCTGGGGGAAGCTGCTGACAGTGGCATATCCCCAACCCTACAGGGAGACCATGGGGCTGGTGGCAATGAGGGCTGTGGGCTTGGGTGGCCATGCTGGGGGCTGTGGCTTGCCTGGGATGCTCACTGGCCTAAGGACAGGTACATGTGCCCATGCCAGCATGGATGCCCCCTCCTATGCCTGGTGCCTGAGCCGAGGAGCCTGTCCCTCCACTTGGACTGTGACAATACAAGGACGGGTCCCTGGATGAGCAGGTCTGGGTCTGGTCCTTCCTGCCTGAGCTGGCAGGAGCAGACAGTGCCCGTCCCCCTGGGCACTCCTCCCTCGTGGGGCCTGGGCGGTGGGTGCCTCCAGCAGCATGGCACGGCAGGGCTCACCCAGCCTCCACCCTGCAGCTCCCACTGCCACGGATGGGCTCCCAGTCCAGCCCTGCCTTCAAGCTGCCGACATGACCTGACTGGGAGCTGGAGCCACTGAATGGAGGAGGAACAGCTCCTGCCTCGATGGATGCCTGGGGTAGTGCCTGTCCCCACCCTGCCCTGACCCGGGTCTGTGTCTGCACTGCTTCACTGGTCCTGCGGCTCCAACTCTGGCTGAACCTCCTGGCCCTGGAGGCCTCAGGTGATTTCAAGGCCACTCCAAGACCACATGGGGCAGCTGGGGCCAGTCAAGCACACACTTTATTGCTGGAGGTGGTGGGGAGGGGACAGGCCAGCTGGGGGTCATGACTGTCCCATGTCCCCTGGCTTCCTGCTGCAGAGGATCTGCTCTCCCATCACACAGCATCTGAAAAGGAGGATATGCTTTTAGGGAGCAACGAGGCTGCAGGAGTGAGGGACCAGTGGCCATGATTGCAGCCATGCTGGCCATGAGATCTCCATCCCACTCCACTTCAGATCCCTCATTTGCCCTGCTGGGAGCAGAGCAATGGGGCAGCAGTGGGAAGTGGCCTCACAGTGATGCTGAGCTGGGAGCATGCCAAGGGCTGTGCCCTTCATACAGGTCAGCTGGCACTCTGCATGACCTGGTGTTAGCCCTGGTGCTGGCCCCCTTCATGGTGGCCATCGGCCTCCTTACCACCAGACACCCTCGTGCAGACGTGGCCACAGCCGTTGCTGCAGCACTTGTGGCCCCAGGGACATTCCTCATCGAGGCTGCACAGGTCCAGGCAGGTCCCACCGCCCCCAGGCACGGGGCACACTCCATCTCTGCCTGCAGGGCAGAGCACCCTGCCATGGACCACCTGGCTGAGACACCCCACATCTCCTGGGGCAACACTGGGTGTCCCGTGCCTCACCTCCAGGAGTGTCCACGCAGACACGGCCGCAGGAGGTGCGGGTGCACCTCTGTCCCCAGGGACACTGTGAGTCGGCCTCGCACTCCTCCGAGCACTGCTCAGCCCTCGGCTGGGGCACAGCCACAGTGTCCTGCTCTGTGGACAGGGGAGGATGGTCACCTGGTGCCTAAGCTGAGGCTGTGTGTGCTCATCACTTGCACAGAAAGAGGGGGAGGCATGGAAAGAAGGATGGGGGCAGATCACATCTGTGGAGGGTGTGAGACCCCCAGAGGTAGAGCTGCCTTGGCAGAACCAGCTCAGGGGCCCATTGTGGTCATGGTGAGGGGTCCTTATTGGGGATGAAGGGCCAGGATGCCCTGGGGTGGGTGCCAAGGGGACCTGGGCTCTGTCCCTGCTGGGCTGGGTGGGTGTGGGTGTCTGACCTTGCAGAGAGGCTGGTGTGCAGACGTGGCCACAGCCATTACTGCAGCACTTGTGGCCCCAGGGACACGCCTCGTCGAAGTCACACAGGTCCAAGCACGTGCCTCCCTCCCTGGGGATGGGGCACACTCCCACTCTGCCTGCAAGGCAATCACCCAGCTGGGGCACATCTGGCCTGGGCCACCTCACCATGGGGCACTCCAGGGCAGCCACACATCTCCTGGAAGGCCTGGCTGGTTCTCACCTCCAGGGATGTCCATGCAGATGTGGCCACAGCCAATGCTGGTGCACCTCTGCCCGCGGGGACACTGTGAATCAGCCTGGCACTCCTCCACACACCGGCCATCAGCTTTGTCCCCGCTGCCTGCAGGGGCAGCACCTTGCTGTCACCTGGCTGCCCTTGGGGGGCTGGGGCCAGCTCCCCTCGCACAGGTTGTGCCTTCTACCTCTGGGCACGGCGACGCACTCCCGGCCGCAGCCGGTGTCACAGCACTTCTCCTCTCGCCGGCAGACGCTGTCATCCAGGCACTGGCTCCCGCGCTGCCGCCGCCGCAGGTCCCAGCACGGCCCTGCCCGGGGGCACTCCCCGGGGTGCTCTGCCACAGGAGGGACTCGGGTGAGGGCGGAGGTCCCAGCCCCGCTCTCACATCGCTTCCCAGTGCTGGTGGCCGGGCTGTCGCGCTCACCTTGGGCAGGGCGGGTGCAGCGCATGGCGCAGCCAGAGAAGCAGCACTTCTCCTGCCGGGAGCAGTCCCTGTCGTGGGTGCAGGAGTCCATCTCCGTGCACGGCTCCGATGCGTGTTGTGGCCTCACCTTTGGGCACTCACCGGGTTTTTCTGAGAGGGGCAGAAAGAGGGACCACCCTGTATTGCAAGCACCTCCTTTTGTGCAGCCTCGGGGTGCCCTGACCCAGGAATCTGAGTGCCTGCCCTATGGCAGCGCCGTCCCACATCCTGTGCCCAGGAGCTTTGACAGCATTCCCGGTGGAATCGCAGTTCTAGAGACTGTCTCCTCACCTGGTTCCGGGGCTGAGCACACGCTGCCACATCTGCTGCTGCTGCAGCACTTCTCAGCGCCCGGGCACTGCCAGTCCTTGGTGCAGGGGGTGCCACACGGGGCCAGCGGAGCCTCCTCAGCCAGTGGGCAGATGCCTGGTTTCTCTGGGGGCAGGAGGCAGCAGGGCTGGGAGTGCAAGCAGCAACAGCGGGTGTTCCCCACCCAGTGTCACAGTCCCTGGAGCTGGGGGACACCCCTGCCCGTATCTGGCACCTTGGGATGGGGGCAGGCAGACGTAGTCGCAGCCACGGAGGCAGCACTTCTCCTCGCGAGGACACTCGCCATCGTGCCAGCACCAGGCTCTGCAGTCGTAACTGGGGAACAGCCCAGCACGGACTGGGCAGAATCCATCCTTCCCTGCAGGCATGGTGTGGTGTGGCTGCAGTGCCACTGCTTGGAGACAGGGCCGTGGAGACCAGGGCAGGTGGGGCTGTAGAACCTTTGGGGTGGCTCCCAGCCCCCTCACCTTGCCTGTTGGCCACACAGTGCCTGGTGCACAGCTGGTGACAGCACACGTGGAACGGGGGACAGTCCTCGTCCTTGAGGCATCCCCACTGGTGCTGCAGTGACCTTTGAGTCACTGGGACAGGGCTGGTGTCCTCTGCACCGTGGAGCAGGATGAGACATGATGGTGGCCTCACCAGAGGTTGGTTGTGCTGTCCCCTTCCCTCCCCACTCCAGTGCCCACCTGGGGGCTGTGCAGTGTGTCCCCACCCCAGGCCTGGCAGAGCCCACCCTGGCAAGCATGGGGTGAGGGGTCCCGTTTGTGCCACAGCTCTGTGCCACGGTGGCTGCTGCCCCACGGCGTCATTCCCGGCCTCTGAGCCATGTCCCCGCCCTCACTGCCCATCCTGTCCCGTGCTGTCCCGTCCTGCCTCACCGGCCGGCACTCCCGGCAGGCACCGGTGGCCGCAGCTGCTGTTGCAGCATTTCTGCGCGTCGGGGCAGTCACCGTCACCTCGGCACCGCTCCCGGAATGGTCCTGGCTGCACCGTGGGGCCCTGGCTGGGCTTGGGCTGGTCTGACAGGGCAGAAGGGGTGTGACCATTCAGCATCCCCCACCGCCGCCCTGCCTGCCCCGGGGGTCCCTGCTTCCTGCCATGACCCGCACATTCCTGGTGCCTGCGGCCACGTTGGGTTTTCCCGGCAGTTGTCAGGAGCTGCCGGAGCAGGGAAAACACCGTGCGCTGCCCCAGGGGCCAGGGCGTCAGGGAGACAGCTGTGGCACACAGGGTCCCTGGGGGGAGCCAGGGCTCGCAGCCGGCCCCGCCGAGTCCTTACCCTGCGCCGGCTCCAGGCAGGCAGAGCCGCAGCCCAGCGGGCAGCACTTCTGCGCTCCCAGGCAGTCCTTGTCCTCCAGGCAGGGGAAGGAGCAGGGGGCAACGAGCCCCTCGGGGGCTGCTGCCGGGCAGGCACCGGGCTTCTCTGCAGCGCCGAGGGGCCGAGAGGTGAGGCTGCACTGCGGTGTCCTAGGGCAGCACCAGGAAACCTGCCCCTGCCAGACCCCTCTGCCTCGCCCTGGCTGCGCCCCTTCCTGTGCCCCATCCCATCCACACATCCCAGCGGCGCTCAGGAGGCCGCTAGCAGAGCACACGGGGCTGCTCCCAGCGCACATGGGACAGGGAGAAGGGTGCCAGCTGCGCCGGGACAGAGGTGTGCCAGCGGCTGCAGCGCGGTGCCGTACCTTCTGCCGGGGGGATGCAGCGGAGCCGGCACTCCCAGTGGCAGCACTTGAGCCCAGCAGGGCAGCTGGAGTCATTGGCACAGAGTGGGGACTCCAGGCGCAAGCAGCGCATGAAGTCCCGTGGACACTTCCCCGGTTTCTGGGAGTCCCCTGCGTTGGGATGGCAATGTCAGGACAGTGCCAGAGCCCCTCATCCTCCTTCCCTGGGGAAGCAGGATGTGGGTCTCTCTGCAGGGGACTGCAGCCCAGGGGCTGGAGATACAGCGCACAGGGAATGGGACAGGGAGAAGGGTGCCAGCTGCGCCGGGACAGAGGTGTGCCAGCGGCTGCAGCGCGGTGCCGTACCTTCTGCCGGGGGGATGCAGCGGAGCCGGCACTCCCAGTGGCAGCACTTGAGCCCAGCAGGGCAGCTGGAGTCATTGGCACAGAGTGGGGACTCCAGGCGCAAGCAGCGCATGAAGTCCCGTGGACACTTCCCCGGTTTCTGGGAGTCCCCTGCGTTGGGATGGCAATGTCAGGACAGTGCCAGAGCCCCTCATCCTCCTTCCCTGGGGAAGCAGGATGTGGGTCTCTCTGCAGGGGACTGCAGCCCAGGGGCTGGAGATTTCTCAGCATCATGGCCCTGGGCTGCTGGACCCCCACACCGAGACGTGCGTGGCACAGCACACTGTGGCACAGTGTAGCATGACATGTCATGGTGTGGGGTGGCACGGCCCCTGTGTGCCCTTGCAAGTGCCACGAGGAGTGTCACTGGCCCTGTCAGGGTGAAGCCAGCACGGAGCCAGCACCAGCTGGAGGTCAGGGTTTATTCCTGAGCATCCTGCTACTGCGGGCATCCTCACTGCAAGCTCCTCCCTGCTGCCGTCTCCTCATCTTCCTTCTCCTCCTCCTCCTCTTGGCACCCTTTGCTCCTCTTGGCCGTGTTGGTAAACTTGGGGCAGCCCTGCCTCTGGTTCAGGCGAGCTCCAGCTGGAGCCTGTGCTCGGCTCCTGCTGCCAGCTGGGGCTGCTGTGCCCGCAGCTCGTCCGGCTGCGGCGGGGCCGGGTGTTTGGGCTGCAAACAGACGCTGCCGGAGTTTCACTGCAAACAGCAGCTGCTCGGTTCAAACAAGGAGGCACCGGCCGTGGTCTCGTGTGGGCAGAGCCACGCCGCAGCCGGGCACCACCGCCCCAGGCACTGTCCCACGGCGGGGGGCTGGAAGCAGGGGTCTGTGCCCAGGATGCAGCAGAGACCCTGCTGCACGTGGTGCCGCTGGAAGCTGACACTTGCTGTGCCCGTGGGGTGCAGGGGGTGCCCACGGGGCTGAGGGCATGCACACATGCCCCTGCACCCTGGGGTGGGGGCAGGGTCCCCCAGGCAGCAGGGCTGCGGTGCAGGTGCTGCAGCCAGCTGGGACATGGTCCCTGTCAGCATCTGGGCAGGGACAGAGGGGACACGGCAGGGACACGGGGGCCGAGATGCAAGGAGCTGCTCCCAAGCTGCAGCCGCCGGGTTTGACTCTTGGTACTCACCACCCTTCTCTGGTGTCACGCTCGGCTCTGCCCTGAGGATGAGGAGGCCCAGGAGGAGGAAAACTCCTGGGCTCATGCTGCTGCTGGGGATGCTGTGCATGTCTGGAGCTGAGCTGGGGCTTGGTTTGAAGTCTGTGGCAGGGGTGCCTGAAGTGGCAGGGCAGCTGAAGTTGAGCTGCCTGCTGTGGCAGCTGATTGTGCTGTGGGCAGGAGGGGCAGGAGGAGGGGCAGTTCCCAGAACCCGCCGGCGCCCCGCCAGCCATCCCGCTTATCTCTGCCCAAGCCCTGCTTTGGGGTCATGGTGACCTGTGGGGCTGGGAAGGCCAGATGGGGTCAGGCACTTCTGCCCCTCATGTTGCACCACCCCATCCTTGCTGGAGCTGGCTGCCATTCCCTCTCTGGGTTTCCTTCCAGCCCCTCTCGCCCCTCTGCTCCCTGGAGTGGAGGCTGTGCATAGACCCCGTGGCTTGGTCCTGGCATGGCTGTGGGAGCAGCACGGGGGGTTCTAACAGCTCTACTGCTGTGGTGCTGCTCCTCAGCCAAGTGCAGCTTCCATGCACGGGACTGCTTGGGATCCAGCACCCTGCGTAAGCAGGTACTGCCATGGCCCTGGCACATGGGTGATGCTCCCTGCCCCCTTCCTTGTCTGGATGCTCCATCTGGCCTGACCCGTGACTGCTTTTCCTACCAGGTTTTGACACTCTGGGATGCAAATGAGCCCTTCCTTGGCACAAGGAATCTGAGAGAACTGGTTTTCCAGTCCATGACTGCTGAGGGGACATCATGCAGCCCCCAGGCCCAGCAGGATGGTTACCATGGAACAATGATGGCCGGAAATCACCTGCATGGAACTGGGACCATCTCCCTGCCCTCGGGCAGTGCCTGCATGCAGGGATGGCTGCCTGCACCTCCCTGCCTGCAACAGCCCAGGCTGCCAGAGCCTCTGAGAACCAGAGCACAGAACAGGGATGGTGACCCAGAGCAGAGGTGCCTGTGGGATGGTTTATTCTGTCTCAGTGCTGTGGGGCAGAGGTGCCATTGTGGATGCAGGGTTTTGCCTCATGCAGGGTTGCTAGGAATCTTGGCCATGGGTAGTGCAGGCAGCTTGCAGCCCTTAATGGCACGGCTGGGGGTGCCAGGGACCCTGACCAGAAGCATCGGAGTCAATGCTGGTGCCATCCTGCCTCCACAGGGTGCAGTGCAGGGAGAGGTGTGGGGTGCACCAGCACCTCTGCTCAGCCCATGGGTGCAATGGCAGTGGGGTGGAGGATGACCCTGAAATGGCAGCTCCTTGTCAGCCCTTCCTGGCCATGGCTACGCTGTACCTGGAAGAGGCAAATGAGGTGGTCAGTGAGGATGCCTCAGTGCTCCCTCTCTGAGGGATGGGGGGCCCTGTGGTGCTCCTGCCCTGGCCTCCCTCTGTCCCCTCCAGGCTGGACCCAGGAGGCAGCAGGCTGGAGGGGACTGTACCCCACAGTGTGTGGACGCAGACCCGGCTGCAGCCGTGCAGGCAGCACTTCTGGCCAAGGGGACAGTCCCTCTCCTGCAGGCACAGGAGGAGGCACTTGGCTGTGTGATCACCCTCTGCTGCAGGGGGACAGAGACCTGGCCATGCTGGAACATGTGGAGAGAGAAAGGGGTGAGGGGCTCAGGGCACCCCCCCAGGGTGGGGAGCTTCCCTGCCTGCAGGCATGAACTTCTCACTGAGTTCCTGGAGAGCAGCTGAGCTTTGGAGAGCAGATCAGACCCCAGCCCCCCAGAGGGTCACGGTGACAGGTGGGGAGGGGGCGCAGGGGTCTTGTCCCCACAGGGTGCCGATGGTTTACCCTTGGTGGGTGGTTTGCAGATGTGGCCACAGCCAGTGGTGCAGCACTTGTCGTTCCCAGTGCAGTCACCATCAGTGTCACACAGCTCCAGACAGGGCCCCAAGGAGCCCCGCAGCACCATGGGGCACACACCAGGCTTCACTGTGGCACGGTGGCTCCCTGGTGACAGGAAAGAGTGCAGCTGTGCCGGGATTCTGTCCCCAGTCCCGCTCCTGGCGCAGCCTCAGTCTCCATCCTGTCCCTGTCCTGTGCCTCCATCTTCCTTCCCCAAGCCCCATGATGTCCTCAGTCACCAGCCTCACACCATACCAGTCTGACCCAGTGAGACCAGTCACAGCTCAGTATGGGATGCCAGCTGGTAGCTGGGGTAGTGAAGGACAACCCTTGCTTTGGCTGCAGTCTGAGGGGGTGCAGGAGGGAGGGTCAGGAGGGGGTTCAGCCTTTCACACACTCGGAGCCATCTCCCACCCATCACGGAGCAGCTGGGGATCCCTTCCCACAGCACCCTGCGGGCCAGCTCTGAGGGCTGGGGCTGTGCCCAGGGCAGGCGTGTGGCACCGGGAGCCACAGCCAGTGGCACACACTCCCTGGGGCCTGGATGGATGCCAGCAGCTGCACACTTGGCCGGGCACAGCCGCTGTGCCTTGTCCACAGTAGGGCTGGCACACGCTGGGCTCTGCCAGGGGGCAGCTGGGCTAGCACCAGTGCAGTGGTGGGCTGGACCTGAGGATCAGAGAGGGCTGGCAGGGCTGTACCTGTGTCTGGAGGGGTGCAGGCCAGCCCACAGCCAGAGAAGCAGCACTTGTGTTCCCCAGGGCAGTCCCGGTCATCGGTGCAGCGGTTGGGGCAGGCAGCAGCTCTCCTCTGGGCACGCTTCCGTGGGCAGAACCCAGGTTTGGCTGCAGGGAAAGCTCAGGGTTTGGCCTGCAGCCAGCCTGGCCCCACTGCCCACGACCCCCCTACAGTGTGATGGGGCCTGCAGACTCCTGGGGCTGCCCCGGGGCATCCTCAGCCTGGCATGGGGATCTCCAGCACACCTCACCTGGCTCAGCAAGCACGCAGCGGGTGCAGCAGCCGCGGGTGCAGCACTTCTCTCCCAAGTGGCATGTGGTGTCGTTGTGACATCTTGTCCCACAGCTTGGCCCGATGGCACTGCCAGCACGGGGGCAGTAGCCCGGGCTCTCTGCAGAAGGAGATGCTCCATGCAGCCATGTCTCAGGGAGCAGGGACACCCCCTCCAGGGGCACCCGCACAGGCACCAACCCACATCCCACCCATTGCCCGATCCTCGTGCTGGCATCCCTTGGAGTGAGCAGCAGTACCTGTGGTGGGCAGGAGGCAGGTCCAGACCTTCCCCATCTGGCAGCACTTCTCAGCAGCAGGGCAGCTGTGGTCGGAGAGGCAGTACAGTTTGGGGGGCCAAGGGGCTCCGCTCGCCCCTGCCGGGCACTCACCCATTTTGGGGGGGGCAGGCGGGGCAGTGGGGCTCCAGTGTCCCTGCAGGGCCCGGTGTGGGGATGCAGTGAGGGTGAGGGCAGTGCCCTGGTCCCTGGGGCTGTGCTGCTGGGCCAGGGTGAGCAGTGCCAGGAGCACCAGCAGAAGGGTGCGGTGGCCCAGCATTGCGCTGCAGTCCATGGGCTTTTGGGCAATGGGCTGGGATTTAAACCCTGCTGGAGTGGGGGCTGGCCAAGCCAAGCTGCTCCTTCTCATGGCAGCACAGTTCTGGGACTGTGGGAGTGCTGGGCATGAACAATTCAGCTTGGGGGAGACTCCTGGGGCAGTGCTGGGCTCGTGACCCATGGCTGACACATCCGCAGCTCCCTTTCCAGGTCACTGGTGACCTGTGAGCAGCTGTGCCAAGGGCTGAGCAGCACTGAGAGCCACACCATTGTGAGCCTGGAGGGGACACAGGAGCGGTGTCCTGTCCCAGTCTTCAGTGTCCACTGGATCCCTCCTGGCACACGTGGAGCAGGGAGAGCTGCTGTGGAGCTGTGGTGCAGGCACAGCCTGCACCTGCACTGCAGAGAGAGGGGGGAACCAGCACCAGACTCTGGGCAGTGCTGGGCAAGGTGTGGGGCTGCAGGGGCTCTTGGGGTGCCAGCCTCTCCCAGGCAGGAGGGACATGCTCTGATCCCAGGGGCAGGGAGCAGGAGCAGGCAGGTACAGAAGAAACAGGGCCCCTGGAGACCTGTGGAGAGCACAAGTGCCAGGGGAAAGTAGGACAGGAGCAGGAGCCCAGATCTGAGCAGGTGGGGAGGATTGTGGCAGGGGCAGGCATGGGACTGGGGCATGTGGGTTGCACTGCTGAAAACTCCTTCAGGCTTCTGCTGTGGGCAAGGTGCCATGGCCAGGCTGGGAGGGCAGAGGTAAGGAGGAGTCTGGGTGATGCTCGTGTATGAGCACACGCTGCAGCCTGTTTGTCCCCTGGCCATTGCAGAGCAGGGAGCAGAGAGCACCTCTGCTCTGATGGGACACAGACACAGCTGCACCTTGGCAGTGCTCTGAGCATGCTGGAGGACCCAAGGTGGAGGAGCCAGTGTGCAGGGACAGCTAGGGCCATGGACCCATGGGACAGCCCCAGGGAGGGCACAGGACCCTTGGGGGCATGACAGAGTCAGTCGATGCTGCTGCTTGTGTGAAGCCCTTCCAGGCATTCCCTGTCATGGGAGGGAGAGGCAGCCATGGCTTGTGATGGAGAGGTGGCCATGGTGTGGGATGGAGAGGTGGGCACAGCATGGAACAGAAAGGGGGCCATGGTGTGGGACAGAGAGGCAGCCACAGCATGTCAGGGAGAAGCTGCTTTATTGGTGAGAGTGCAGGGGTCTTGCCCTGAGCAGAGAACCCCAGGGAGAAAACTGAGGCTGAAGGCTCCAAGCCAGGGGGATGGTGCAGGGCCACGGCCAGGGCATGAGGGATGGGCATCGGGCAGCAGCTTCCCTGTGGCTGGGCTGGCAGGAGGCGGCTGCATCTGCAAAGGAGCAGAGGCTGTGAGCAGGATGGGTGCACAGGCACCGTGCTGCGGTGCTGTGGATCCCTGGGGCTGGAATGCACCCAACTGACCTCAGTGGAGGATGGGTGTCACACAGGAGACCTTGCCACAGCCATTCCTGCAACACTTCTGGATCCCGGAGCAGTTGGCATCGGTCTTGCACTGGTTGGTGCAGACACCCAGCATGGGGATGCCCGGGTTGACGGGAGGGCAGGTGCCAGGCTTCTCTGAAAGGCAAAGGAACATGGCTGAGACCTGCTG